TTTCCTTACTTTTTTCCCCACTCAATCCTACTATTTTCCCATTTTTAATGTTTTTTATTTACTTGTTTCCATTCTTTTTTCTTAAATTAATAAATTACATTCTGTGGTTAGGTTAATTATATTCATGCTAATCACGTGCGCATAAATTAAAATGGCGTCAAACCACAAACCCACGCGGTGGCTGCAGCTGGATTTTGTCTTCCGTTTTGGTCTCTGTCCTCGCTTCTTTTTGAAACTACCTTTGTGGTCCTTGACCCAAGCCCAGAAGAATGATGTAAAAGGCAACTTGGGCAGTTCTCTGGATTAAAAGATTATCCGGTGCATAGAAGAAGATGAAAGAAGAAGAAGAAGAAGAAGAAGAAAAAGTCTGAAGAATTTTGCAGAAATTTGAATTTGGGCCTGTTTTCCAGAAATGCTCCCGCTACATTACAGTCCACTTTAAAGGTACCAGGAGAATCGCTCAGTGAAGGAGAGCTCATCTAAGCCATTTATAAGGCTGTACAACGTAAAATAAAAGAGTTATAAGTGTTTGAAAATCATAAAAACGGCCGCCATCTTGAAAAATCAACCTCAATCCTACATATAGGCTACCGCCTATATAATATACTTAAAATTCTATGAATATACTTAGCACCAACTGGTCTATAGCTGATCGATCTGCTAACTGCTTGTGCCTTCTTGATTCTCCTGTTTATAGCGAGGCTATCATGGACAGAGACAGCGAGGTATTTACACGGCCAGCGTCTAAGGAAATTACCGAGGAAGAGCTCGTAACGATGTCTATGTTCCTTCTTCTACCTCCAGATATCCTAGCCTGGGAGTTGAACATTCCTAAAGCAGATTGGAGCTGCATCAGACAAGATTATAGAGACAGCACAAGAGCAATGATCAGGGAAGTCCTTCTTAAGTGGCTAGAAAGGCACCCTGCCCCCACCCCCACCTTTGGTGACTTGCATAAATTGATGACAACAGGTTTTGAATTGTCTGATTCTGAATATGATAAAGACAGTGACACAGTGACCTTCAGACGATCGCCTGAGAAAAAGAGACTGGGAGATGTTGGCCACATACAAAGAGAAGTGTCAGATTCGACAATTACAGACTATCTACTCCACAAGAAAAAAAGAGAAAGTCCCGAAAAAGACCGATTCTACCCTATCTCTAGACACGATGAGAGTGAAGTTGAACGCATTGTAAAGAGAAAAACAGGCAACCACCGTCAACATTCCAAAGAGAACTCTCCTAGAAAAAGAGCTAAAAGAGAAAGTCAAACTAAACTAGAGAGACGTTGTTCTCCTCGTAAACCTTTAGCTGGAAAAATTAACCAATAAGGAACTATGCACCACCTATTTAAATGCATATATGCACATACTGTACCTATTTTATTATTGCCTAATTTGATGTTATAGAAAACACTTCGCTGTTAATCCACTCTTCTCTATTGTGTATGCACCAGTGGTGTAGTTGATTACTTATAATGCATTTGCTCCAACTCACAGCACGATAGACGTTCAGCAAGAGTCCTAACTGATAGAGAATTGGTAGTAAAGGAAAGGGTTATTGGTCACATTAAGAGAATGACCAGACTCAAAAGTCTTCATGTCATTGAAACTGAGGAATTAGACTATTTTATTAGTCAACATTTGCTTTCAATGATATCGAATCTGGAGTCTCTTCTCTATCTGAGAATCTATATTTCATATTTTCATATGCTGCAGATATTGCTTCATTAAATTCATGCAGTATGAATATTGTTCAAGGGCTTGAAAGAATTCTTCAGAAATGCCAGAAACTTACATATTTTGTAATTCATTTTGCACCAGTCAAAGCTATCAGACTACCAGTAGATCCAGCACTGTATGGTAATCTTACTCATCTCTCGCTTGGTTGCCAACATGGACTAATGCCTGTGGAATTCGGTAGGGCTCTTGCTATAAATAGCAAAAAAAATTGAAGCATTTACTTTTGAAACATCAATATGACAGCATTGAACAAGATGTTTTGGATAAAATAAAGGAGGGTAATTTTATTACATTTAACGAATTTGTAGCTACTGAAGAGTGTTTTTATAGACATTATAGAAATAGAAATACATGTAAGAAAAGTGGTAACCTGTCAGAGCTAGACTTTTATATAGAAGAATTTTCAACTTTCCTTTAATTATACAAGTTTGTGTTTAATTGTAGTTACAATTTTGTTTAAATTTTGTATCATTTTTGGTATCAATTTTGTGTTTGTTTTTGAGATTTATTTATTTATTGTTTTTGTTTATCATTATTGTTAATATTAACATAAAAGCACAAAACACTACAATTTAATGAAATGTCATGGAGGTCAGGTGTGTACCATAAGTAATTAAGATTCAAATCAAGCAAAGATAACAATAATAGATGTAATGCAGTCATGATTATTCAATAATTGAACAATGAATCACAGAAGAATCTTTTGATGTCAATTCAAATTAAAGAATAATCAACCAGAAGAATCAAGAAT